AAAGGCAGCCCCATGTAGAGAGTGTTACAGTAGTCTAACCTCGAGGTGACCGTCGCATGGATCACTGTGGCCAGGTCATCGCAGTCAAGGAAGGGAACCAACTGCCGAGCCAGCCGAAGATGGTAAAAAGCTGATTTGGCAGTGGCTGCCACCTGGGCCTCCATAGTTAGAGAGGAGTCCAGGAGCACTCCCAAATTCCTGACCTCCGACGCTGGCACCAAAGGTGCCCCATCGAAGGTCGGGAGAGGAATCCCCAACCCCAAACCGACCTGACTCAGGCCCAGGACCTCCGTCTTTGCCGGGTTTAACTTCAGTCGACTCAGTCTGAGCCAACCAGCCATGGGTTGCAATGCCCGGTGAAGATCTTCTGGGCTGGAGTCTGACTGGCCGCCCAAATTCAGATAGAGCTGGGTGTCATCTGCATATTGATGACACCCAAGCCCATACCTCCGGGCAACCTGGGCAAGGGGGTACATGTAAATGTTGAACAACATCGGGGAAAGCACCGCCCCCTGAGGCACCCCATATTCAAGGGTATGTCTCCAGGACTGCTGTTGCCCTATTGCCACCCTTTGTCCCCGACCTTGGAGAAAAGAGGCAAGCCATTGAAGGCTAGCAGATGCAATCCTGGTCACATAGAATTCTCTCTTTGCGGCCTTGACTGCCATCTCATAGGATCTCATAAACGTCCTATAAGATGCTCTTGATGCCTCGTCACGAGCACGGCGCCACCGTCTCTCTAGCCGTCTCAGCTCTCGCTTCATCCGCCGTAGCTCCTGGGTATACCAGGGCGCCCACCTAGAGCGAGTGTGGAGAGGGCGCCTGAGAGCAATCTTGTCGATGGCTGCGGAGAGTCGGCAATGCCAGTCCTCCACAAGCTCATCCAGCGAACCGCCAGGGGGCCTCAGATCCCATAGAGCCATCTGAAGCCGTGCTGGGTCCATTTGCCTGCCTCTACATCCCAGCACTGGTATTCCTTGGAGGTCTCCCTTCCAAGTACTTACCAGGGTTGGCCCTGCTTAGCTTCTGAGATCTGATGGGATCAGGCTTGCCTGGGCTATCCAGGTCAGGGCCTGTTCGCTGCTGCTTTTCCAGTGCTCCAGGACTGAGGACAGGTTTTACACCCGCATCACAATGCTGCCCCCAACTACAGCACTGCACTTTCACTCACAGGACTGACTGGCAAGCCATTCTCTTCTGTGAGGAGTCAAACAGTAAGTTAAAGGCTTTGTAGATGATGTGGATTCTGACATGGGATTTTACAGAAGAAAATGGGATGACATCAAACAGGCATTCTGGAAGGGAGTTCCTGGCATAAAAGACAGCAAGGGAGAAGGGCAGGATCATTTCACAGAGCAGAGGATTTTGAGGAGGCTGAGGGAGTCAGCAAGCCAAAGGTGGCAGCACCGCAGATTTGCAATAGCTAGCTAAAAATGTGAACTGAGTCAACCAGCATTCATCACAGGCTGTCCCAATTTGCAATCCATGTGGTTCCCCTTTCTGTTACTCTTTAGTGTCCCATCTAGCCCAGCTTCCTGTCTCACAACCACAGGGCATAGAGGACCACACTGGGAACCTGGTGGCATTGCAGGAAGGCTGCGCTTATTCACCTTGATTGACTCTCAAGTCCTGATAATAACCTAAATAACTGGATTAAATCACACACTCATAACTATCTTAGTTCATGGTGGCCAAAGAAAAGCCCACATTATCTCCAAGTTTATTTAGCCTGTGGCAAGCCAATGACATCCAAACATACAAGTAGATTTCCGTTTTCGGCACACATGTGAGCACAGCAACATGGCAAAACCCAAAATCTGTGCTTGGTATCATAGGTGTGCACATGCAGCTGTAGGATCCCACTTTTTCCTCATGCTGGTTGAGTTTGTGGAGGCTTAGGCTGAGACGAGGAGTTACAGGTTTTAATGAGCCCTATCCAGGGGATTCAGATTTCCTGCATTCACATGGGCTATAAGGAACTGACTTTTAAAGATCCACAGCGACCTGACTCTACTTAGGACCATGGTCCAGTGGGCTGAGGGGCTTTTGCCATTTTCCCAAGCATAGGGCAAACAAGGCCCCCTTCCAGGGCCATTTTGTAACATCTAGCTTGAACTGTAGTCACAGGCAGAGAGCTTTAAAATGTACTATTGTCTTGATTATGCTACACTACTGTCCATAATTAAGGCATCTACTTCCTGTGTGCAAGTTTTGCGGTTTTGAGAATGCAGCCCTTCTGTTCTGTCATGCTAGAGAAGAAATCTACGATTTACCTGGGAAGGGAGATTTTTGGGTGGTTCAATTCTAATTGATGGATCCCATTCTCCAGGTGGAAGTACTGTCACCTGGTCTAGAAACTCATCAATCCCAGCTAAAATGTCAGTGCGGTCTTTTGCTTTGTAAGCAACATCATGAAAAATCTATAGATGGGAGAGCAAGAGAAAAACCTCAGTTGTTACTTTAATCCTGAAACAACAACAGTTAACAGAAAGTAATTTGAAATCTGCACTTATGAAATTGATTCAGTGATGTTTTCCACTAGGTACACTGTAATTTCCTAGGACGGAGAACTACTCCATATATTATAACAAGCACATTATTGAATGTGCAACAGCTCAAAGAGTCAGAATAGAACACAAGTCTACTGGCACCTCAAAGACCAACATTTATTTCAATATGAACTTTCTTGAGAAGGCGTTCACTTCTTTAGATACGCATGAGAATCAAACTGAGAATCCTTCTTAAGGGGCAGGTTATAAGGGGGAAGGAGGAATAAAGGCAGACAGTAAATGTATGAGTCAGACCATTCAGTGGCTTGGACCCTGCCGAAAATATCCACCGATGGAAGGATTTCTGTCTGTGGAGTGTGACTTTCTCACTCCCGTCTCCTTCTTAAGCCCCAAATGTTGTCTAAACTACTTCTCTTGTGGGACAAAAGCTCCCAGGAACAGCAGGAAGGGTGAACAAGGGGTCTGTAACAGGAGTTGGAAAAGCAATGTTCCATCTGTGGAATTCCAGGGGATCCAACCACTGTTCCCTCTAAGCTGAGTTAGTGTGAGCTAGCTCACAGTTTTTTAGCCTCTGGCTCACACATTTTTGTCTTAGCTCAGGAAACATGGCTCTGGAGCAAGCTAATTTATGCAGCAGGCAAATCGCCCACTCACCACTTTAATGCCAGTAGCTCACAAAGTAGAATTTTTGCTCACAAGTCTCCACAGCTTAGAGGGAACATTGGATCCAACCCAATGCTTTTATCATGGATATGTTTGCATCAATTTTCTCATAATGTCTTCTAAGGTATACTTATAGGTTGCATTCATGTTTTGCTCTTAAGAAGAAGCTATTACTATTTTGCTTGCTTTTTTAAATAAGAAAATGAAACATAATATCTCTTATTTCTAGCAATATTTTTTCCCAAATCTGTCACCTCACTCACTACAACACATCTCTCTCTCTCTCGATCCTTATTGCTTTTTATTATCTTTCTTTTCGTCCCATCACATCCCCCACAAACACCTGTCTGAATTTGCACAAGTCTCATAATGCAGCACAGAGAACTCTTTTCATCCCTCCCCAGGACACAATAAAACCTCAACTCTAATCACACCTGGGCTCAATCACACAAGATAATTTCATCACAAGGAAATAACTAGGAAAATTCACCAAATGGCGGCCATTTTCCTATTAAAAGTGATCATGCCCTCCTCCCCCTTGGTTTTCAGTGCAATGCTAGGCAAAGTTACACCTTTCTAAGACATTCTAAGGCTGTTATGGAGGAACTAAGATGAAGGGCTGGAAAATGGCAGATCTGTGACAAGTTTTCCCTCCCGTCCTCTTGTACTATCTTGGTATAGTTATCCCGTGTTGTGACATTATTATTACTTATTTAATTTATACCCTGCCCTACCCCAGCAATGATGCATTTCCTGGCCATTGATGTAAAGCGGGGATGGAGAATGACAAATGAAACGGTTTTCAGCAGCTGCTCCATGCTGAGCATAGCTTCTAGTTCAGGTCCCAGTTTAAGGGAGCTTCCATGCCACAGCCTGAAAACCTGCGGTCAGATATGAAGCAGGGAATGGAATAGATTGTCTTTTCTTACAAGAGTTAGGGGGAGATGTCACATAGCTTTTCTAGGACTGTATCCACTGTTGCATGAGCACTGCTTAGACACATGGGGTCCACAAATGATCCTAACGGGGTGTTGCTAGAAATCTTCCTGGCTTATAGTCTCAAGAACCCATTGGGCCACAAAGCTGCATTTATTTGTGTGAAGTGATTTATATTCCACCTTCTCCCCACCACCACCACTCAAAGAAGCAAAGAATTGTTTTATATTTTACTGTACCTCATCCGTCATTAGGGTTGCCATTGATCTTCCAATTTCATGGTACTGTTGTGCTTTCCCTGCTGGGCCCAGCAAGAAAAACAGAAACCTAGTGAAAGAAAGAAAGAGAGAGAGAGACAGACAGACAAAACCTTTATTGTATAACAGACTGGGCAGTTTTAAAGATTATGTAAATTTTAGATAGTTTTAAACACATTCAGTCCCACAAAATGTATCTGCCTCACATTGATATATTGCATCAGGTGCAGACAATATATGGATGTGTACTTGGCATGTTTAAATATCTGTTGACAAGTTTCTGGGGACCATGGCCCAATCAGGGCTCCCAGATATGCGTACACATGTAAAGACACATGTGCACATGTATACAATATCCACGATTACAAGTCTGCCACTGGAAACATTGCCTACTTAAACCATGGGACCACCCAGAGTCTCCACTAGCATGTGGAAGTGCCTGGAAGAAATAGTGTGCCATTGCATAGGCTGTTGGATGTTGCAAGTTACATTCAATGCAAAGATGGTGGTTTGAATCCACTGGAGATTTCCATCTGGGGAGTGGCACTTCCCCACCTCCCACTGCAGCCCCAAATGACCCCTAGAATCCTACTCATGGAGGATGGAAGCTACCCAGGAACAGGTGGGGGGGTGTCAGTGAGGGAATCAGCAATAATTGCCTCCCGTTTCCATTCACAGACATTCATTTGTTGCATCCAAAATGACTGGCAATTTCTGCTAAAAGAAAATAGCTCGGGCAACTTGATCTCTTGGTCAGGAGAATGAGATTTTTCTCCAACTCATAGTTATAAGCTAATGGTCCTCGTCTGAGTCTGCCTGCTATCCTACAATGCTTCTTCATTCCCCAAAAAATTTTCTTTCCCAGATAACAAAATTACTGGACACGACATCCCGAGTTCTGCAAAAACAACACAATCCTAAACTACGGATAAAATCTCATAATAACTTATCTGTTTTCCAATTGTTATTTAATTCCCGCTTCCCACCTTCCCCGGTCCCCATAACCATAACCTCTTACCTGGTAGGGATTGGAACCTCTGTCATTCCTGACAACAGAACTGCTGGTGTTAAGCGCACAAATGCAACAATGGGCCGCGTAAGACAATCCAGCTCTCCCACAAGAACATTTGAGGCTTCCGCTCCGATGGGGATCTTCTTCATGAAATGAAGCTCTGCCTAATTCCAAAGAAAAGGACTTCATTTCTAGGACTGAGTTGGAAATGCACATGTACGTGCGTGTGCATGAGGATATATGCCAATTCCATTAACATTTCTTTCCCAGCTACATTTACCCTCTCTTTTTAAAAGATCTTTCAAAAGATTCTATGTTTGGCAATTCTGGTGGAGGGGGGAGACAATGCACAGTATAAAAGTAAAGTAAGCCATCAAGTCAGGGCAACCCCCTATGGGGTTTTAAAGGCAAGAGTTGAGCAGAGGTGGTTTGCCATTGTCTAGTTCTTTGCAGCAACCGTGGACTTTCTTGATGGTCTCCCATCCAAATACTAACCATGGCCAACCATGCTTAACTTCTGAGCTCTGATGAGATCAGGCTAGTGTGGGCTTTCTAGGGTACTAATTCACCACCACCCCAATTCTTTATGCAAATCACCCTTGCTTTCTGTCTGGCATTTACACAATGACGACTGAACTCCATTGTGAGCCTTCACAGTTCTGGAAACAAAGACATTTTGAGGATATTGGTTGTTCCAGTTGATCTAAAGCCTGATTTAGTGACCTCAAGCTGCCTGAAACCAAGTTAGTGGTATCTCTGGCTTCTTATTTTTGTGGTTGCTTTATGTTTGATCTTAATTCTATTGCGGTTGCTGTGTATCCTGCTAACCCACTTCAGTGCACTGAAGGACAAAAAGTGGCATATAAACTGAATGAATGGATGAGGCACCACCTTGCTGAGGTCCGTCGGAGTGGTATCATGGCTTGCTCCATTTCTCACTTCTAGGGTATTGGAAGGAGGCTGGAGAGTCAGCGTGTTCATTCCTACCGAAGAAACAAGAAAGAATTTTAGATGAAAAGGACACATTCATGGCTACACTTTCAGCTTAGGGATTTTTCTTCACCAAGTGCACATTTATGTTTGTGAAGTTATGCTTGCTTCTTTGGGTCTTTTTACCCAGATGTTTACCTGCAGATTGGGTGCTGACCTGCAGCATTTCCTGCACACACAAAATGTCTTCACACCCTCATTTTCCATTTGTTGACTTTCCATGGTTTGTTCACGTTGACAAAGTATGGGGAAAACAATAAGCAAAACAAGGCAAACATGGAAAGAGAATAAGTAGAAATCAAGGATGTGATAAAGCTCCTAAACCACAGGAGAACCTCTGTGTGAAAAAGAACAATTTCTTAGTGCAAAAGTACATGAATACTTACGTCCAGATGGATGGCTTTGGTGCATGAAAACAAGAGATGGGTGAGGAGCGGGGGCAGGAAAGGGACATGGCAAACTCTGAGGCCACCGTCACACAAAAGTACTTCATATTAATGAGCACTTAATGTGTACTATTCTTCCTGTGAGAGCAAAATAAGAGAGAGCAGAAGCCCCATAGAAGAAGAGGAGAGAAGAGATTGGGTTTATACCCCACTCTTCACTACCCAAAGGAGTCTCAGAGCAGCTTACAAACTCCTTTCCCTTCCCCTCCACACAACAGACACCCTGTGAGGTAGGTGGGGCTGAGAGAGCTCTTGACAGAAACTGCTCTTTTTCAAGAACAGCTGTTATCAGAGCTAAGGCTTGCCCAAGGTCATCCAGCCAGGTGCAAGTGGAGGAGTGGGGAATCAAACCCGGTTCTCCCAGCTTCGAGCCCGTGCACTTATCTACTACACCAAACTGGCACCATACACATGACATTGTGGGTATAGGACAATGCATGCAGACAGCTTTCTCCCAATGGGGACCCAAAGCAGCTTATACCATTCTCCTCTCCTCCATTTTAACCTCACAACAACCCTGTGAGGTAGGTTAGGCTGAGAGAGTGACTGGCCCTAGGTCACCCAGTGAGTGTCCATGGCAAGAGCGGGCATTTGAACCTGAGCTTTCCAGCTACTAGTCAGACACTTTTAACCACTAGAGCTCACTGGCTCTTCATAACCTGCATGCATCTAAACTGCACATGTGCAAGCGCAAGATTAAGAAATGTTTTAAAAGCCAAACACCTGATTGCAAGAATGCAGCCTATGCACAGTTTGTACCTCCACAAGTATTGTGCCATATGAAGTGAATGTACACAGATACTGGGAGGGGGGGGTGTTGGGTTTGGCAGGGCCAGTTGCTTGAATGCAAGTAATGGCAGGACCAGAGCACTCGGTCCTGCTCCTCCTCTACACACACATAGGCCACGTGTAATGCTAGCATGCTAGCACTCCTTTGATCAGAGCAGCATGTATGCTTGTAGTGTGAACTAATGGTGTGATTGTTACCAGAACTACACTCTCTTCCTTCCAAAGCTGTCCATCATGGAGAGGACCACGACTTCTCTAAGAGAGCAGAAGATAACTTTGGAGTATCATTACAGGGAACCAATGAATGTGATCTTCTTTGAAGGAAGGGAAGAGGTGAATGTCAAATGGGGTAGCACACAGAAAGAGGACACGAACAGTTCAAATGTAAAGCACACCTTCCTCAATAGCTCCCGTTTGCATCTGTCCACTTGGGCCTAGCTTAAGCCTACCTGCCCCTTTCCCCATCATAACATTTCCACCCATTTTTTAGTTTTTTTACCCTCAGTTTTACATCTGAAAAGTGGCAGGGACAGGAAGTCGCAGGGTTCTGACTTTATCTCTGCCTCTTCCCCACAAATCCACCTGCTTCTTCAGGGAGGATGTGGTGGACCAGAGGGAAACCTCTAAGTTCCTTCTGAGGCCGGAGTCAAATCTAGGGGGTTAGGGGGACCTGGGAACGGGGCGAGTTAAGTAAGGTGAGAGAGACGACTTTACTTGTGGCGTGCCTATCTATCCCACCATTATCACCATTCATGGTGGTGGTGGAAAGTGCCACCAAATCGCAGCAAACCTTTGGTGACCCCTCACAGGGCTTTCAAGGCTAGGGATATTCACAGGTAGTTTGCCATTGTCTGCCTTTGCGTAGTGACCCTGTTCTTCATCAGTGGTCTCCCATCCAGATACTAACCAGGGCTGACCCTGTTTAGCTTCTAAGAACTGGCTACTCTGGGCCATTCAGGTCAGGGCTTATCACTGATATCCCACCATTATCACAGATTGTGTGTGTGGGGGGGGGTATAGTGCTTGAACTAATGACTGTGAGCTGAAAGAACAGAGAGCATATTGCATAGACAACAATGGCACCATCACAACAACTTTAACTCTATTGTCTGTCCCTAGTCTGACTCTAAAGCAGATGGAGAAACTATCAGGCTGGCTCTGAGAAAGGATAAGACTCAGAGCCTGCCTAGAAGCAGCTCTGTCAGGTGGGGAGGCTCTGGATACACCCCTGGCTTAAGCCCTGCAACAGCTTTGGTGGATGTCAGGAGGCCAGACGTATAAGACAGCTGCAAGTATTTCTGCCACACTGTCAATTGCAAATCCTCCCATTTGACTGATTCACTTGATGATTTCATTTACCAGGGACAACCTGCTGCTAGAGTTCTATCACTGGAAAAATGGAAGGCCTGCGCAGGCTGTAGCAACCTAGGCTCTATTGCCCTGACCTTAAACCGGAAGCAAGTAGGTGAATCCTGAGAGCCAACATTAGACACATGCCAGAAACCTTCCCATACCATAAATCACATTCATAAGCCAAGTTGCTTGGTTAAAAGGATCAGGCAGTAGGTGATGTGAAAGACCTCTGCCTACGACCCTGGGGAGCTGCTGCCAGTCTGAGAAGACAATGCTGACCCTGATGGATCAATAGTCTGATTCAGTATCAGGCAGCTTCCTGTGTACTCTTTGAAATCTGGATCCAGACCTATACTTTGCCACTGGATCTTGTCATCTTTGAACATATCAAGAGCCTCCATAATGATTTATTTCCCCCAGATGTCTTATTCATATAGCAGCAAAGGGAAGTCTCAGAAAATTTCAACTGCTGCAGGCATGCTGAGACCTCTGAACACATAGTTGATGGTTCATAAGCTACTATGCAGGCTTGACTAGAGTTTCCAGAACCCAAGAATCCTCACCCGTCTTATCCATTGAGTGAGGATCTGACTTTTTCTGGCTAACCTCCGCAAAAGAGCGGACAATTGGGAGCAGGTTGTTTTTCTTCTTCTCGTTCTGATGATGATGCTTTTTCAGAAGAGCTTCCCGGACCTTCTTACGGGTGGCTTCATCCAGCTCACTGGAAGGCTCATGCTTATCCAATACCATGTCTGAAAATGGAGAAATCTTTAGTCACACAAATTAAACACCATCCCTGGCTGCAATTTTTAAATGCTGAAATGGCCATGGCCTGCTAACTCCCCACCCCCCACCCTGCAAGGCAATGAACAGGTCTTTGGATATAGGACTTGATTAACCAAAGTGCTAAGTAAGCTAAAGAGCAGGATAGCCAAAATAGTAACCATCCTATAGCGGAGCACTCCAGCAAGCATCTTGTAGTGAAGTACTCCAGGTTTCCTATTTTCTGAAGAATATTCTTCTTCATGTTGGGCTTCTTTTTAAGCCCCTCCTCCAGCTTTTAATCATCAAATTTATATAAAACCAAGCAGTGCCTAGTAATGTACACACTATCCCTGGCACCTGATCAGAGAAACAGTACTGAATTAATCAAAGGTGTTTTCCTGAATTGTTTAATAACAGATTTTTAAAGTAAATCATCATGCACTAATAAAAAAAAAAACACCTGTGAAGAAAACAACCATAACAAATGTTTAACTACTAGCTTAACCAACACTTCAATTAATCATGAATAGCAGCTTATGGCCTGCATCTGGTCTGTCTGTTTTATAGAGACGTCTCTGGCTCAGCCCCATAACCTGGAATTTGGAAGGGGGCGATAATTAAATTTAATTCTATTTAAATAATGGAGCAAAGGAGTGGACGGGAAAGGAGAGGTGCCACTGGAACAAGTGCATTTTAGCAGCTAAAGCGTTAAGTGGCCCTAACCACGGCAAGGGCCAGGCCAGCCAATTTGCTGCCGAGCTCCCTGCGAGAGCTGAGGGGGTGTTTTCCCAGCTCCGAACCCAACAGTTCAGCTTCTCTGCCACTCTTCACCGGAACGGGCACTTCCTTACCGCTGCTCCGCCAGGACTTTCCAGCAGAAGGAGGACCCCCCTTCCTCTCTGCCCCACCAGGGCTCCAAGCGCCCCCACCCAGCTGTTTGTGCCACATCTGGAGAGGTGCTGGTGAGCAGAACCCGCCAGGTGAATCAGGGATGCCCTCAGGGCACCTCACCTGACTCCAGGGCTCCTGCACAGCCGTGGCTTACAGCAGCTCTGCCCTTCTTCCACAAGGCATGCAGGGAAGCCCCAAGTTTAAATACTTGTTTCCCTGAGAAGGGAAGGTATTTAAAGAGACATATGTCTAAAGACTGGGCTGTGGTGGCTCAAGCACTTAAGACGTTGAACTGCAGACCGGAAGATCGGTAGTTCAGTAGTTCGAGACCCGAGTGCCACATGACAGAGTGAGCTCCCGTCTCTGAGAACATAAGAACATAAGAGAAGCCAATGCTGTATCAGGCCGATGGCCCATCCAGTCCAACACTCTGTCACACAGTGGCCAAAAATACCAGGTGCCATCAGGAGGTCCAGCAGTGGGGCCAGGACACTAGAAGCCCTCCCACTGTTGACCCCCCCAAGCACCAAGAGTACAGTGCATCACTGGCCCCAG